ACATCCAAGTATCGTAGCTTTCTCATTCTCGTCCATTTAAAGGACACGACAGCTATCGAGCGCTAGGTCGCCTAGCTGAGGATTAAAGGCTTGCTACAGAGAATGCTGAGAACGTTGAAGCGTATCGGAAACACCGAATCGAGCCGAGCCGTGCCGAGCGAGTACCGACGTGTTTTCTCGGAGAGCTTCCACGTTTTACGGGACTACTTCGTATCGCGGAGTAAAAAGATAGAAAGAAAGAAAGAGAAAGAGAGAGAGAGAGAGAGAGAGAGAGAGAGAGAGAGAGAGAGAGAGAGAGAGAAAGAAAGAGTTGAGATTTGACGTAGTTCACGCCACACACGATGAGTTTTAAATGCCGAAGAAACGAATGGTACGAACGTAAATACAACATTATCCAGATTTATTGCGTAGGATGCAAAATGGTTAAGGATTATTTATACTTAAAGGAGATAGTTTCAAAGGATCTTTCGATTCGGTATTATGTATATATCGTCGTTTCGTTCAAAGGAGTTGAAGGAAGGCAACACAAGTCGGTGGTTCGATGTTGGAGCAATGACGAAGCCGAGCGGAGCCGATCGGAGCCGAACAAGGCGCGATGTCCGTTTCGAAGCGGATTCGAGAGGCTAGCATGATCCGTCGTCGTAGAGAAACATAATATATTGGTGAGGAGGAGGAGGAGAAGGAGGAAGAAAAGGAGGAGAAAGAGGAGGTGGTGAATGAGGAGGAGGTGGATGAGAAGGAGGAGAAGGAGGAGGAGCAGGAAGAGGCAGGAGGAGGAGGAGATGGAATAGGAAGGGTCGACGGAAGGAGGAAAAGAAAGAAGGATCGTAATAATGAGGAGCTCCGAGAGAAGAGACTACGAGGGTGCGGGAGAAGGTCGGATGGAAGGAAGAGGGTCTTTTCTCGGGAAACGATCAGTCAGTGTGGTGGTCCAGCGAGAAGGACGAGGACGCGTCCTTGGTGTTTGTCGGTCGAGGTAGTCATCGAGAGGGTAGATTCATTACTGTCCAACAACAACTGTTACGATAACGACGACGACGACGACGACGACGACGACGACGACGACGATATCGACGAAGAGTGGATCGTTCAAAGAGGAGGAAGGGGAGAGAGAGAGAGAGAGAGGAGAAAGAAGTGAATCGGAGAGGAAAGAAGGAAAAGGGAGGGGGAGGGTAGAGAGGAAAAGAGTCGACGCTAAGGAGAGAGTCTCGAGCGTGTTGAGAGGCGCCGCCGAATCGAGCCGGGCCGAGCCGAGCCGCGCCGAGAGTAGCGTTGAGGCCAAGTCGAGCTGTGCCGAGCTGCACCGAGCTGAGCCGAAGGTTATACCGGTGTCAGCCTGCACGAGCAGGCGCGCGCGTCCTCTCCTCTTGCGCGCGTCCAACCGAGCGAGCGAGTAAAAGCAAGCGAGTAACCAAGCAAGCAACCAAGCAAGCAAGCGAGTAAGCAAGTAAGCGAGCAAACAAGCAAGCGAACGAACGAGCAAGTAAACCAGTAAACGAGTAAAACTTTGAGCAAGACTTGAAGATCGTAGGAGGACGTCATTGAAGAAAGGAAGGAGGCGGCAAGGAGGTAGTAAAGAAGTAGAGAGAGAGAAAGAAGTGATACGCGAGCGCGTGTGTGCGCGTCTGATCGCGGCTGATTCGCGCGCGCGCGCTCATCGCCGGCCGTGTATGGACGTCGTCACGCATGGTGCACGCACCGAGGAGGACAAGGCTCAAGCCCTGGAATCCGCCTCTCGTCTACGTTCCTCCGCTCGGCTTGGTTTTATCAATTCCTCTTCGTCGGCCGCATCAACAGCGACAACATCATCAGCAACAGCAGCAGCAGCTTCGTCGGGAACGAGCAACAGCAACACCACCACCACCACTGGCAGCACCACCAACGCCACTACCACCTGCCGAGCATCAACCAAGCGTAGGAGAAAGAAGAGAAGGCGTCAACGACGAAGCAGCAACGCGAACGACGACGACGACGACGACGTCGTCGACGATCTTTCAGCCGTCCTTGACTCGTCCTCCTCCGTCGTCTCATCCTCGGCGTCCCGTCACGTCGGCTCGTCGGTCCTTCTCGAGGACAATCTTTTACCGCCTCCGCCACCGCCACCGGCTAGTGGCAATAACACAAACACCGCGGGTACAGGTGCAAGCGGTACATCTTCCTCCATCACTAGAAGAAGCCTCGCGCAGAAGGTTGACGACGAAGGTACAACATCCCGCCATCGACACCATCACAACAACAACAACAACAACAACAACAATAACAACAACAACAGCGGCAGCCACCACCGTCAGCAGCAACGAGCCGAGAATAACGAAGATAACACGGTTACTGGCGGTGGTGGTGGAACCCGTGGAGAAGGCGAAGAGGAATACAACAACAACAATCACGAGGAAGAAGAGGAAGACGACGAGGAGGTGGTGGACGAGGATAAATCGAACGAGAAGAAACATCATCGTGGTGGTGGTGGTGGTGGTGGTGGTGGTGTTGGTGGAATCGGCGGCTCATCGCCGACGACTACGACACTGCGAAACGGAGGGAACAACAGCAACACGCGTTCAGCGGCGGCTTCTACTGCTGCCGCTTCATCTTCCTCATCTTCCGTACCTATTCTCGCCGACATCACGTTTCTCAATCGCAGGACGGCCAAACGATCGGCCAGGAGATGTAACAACGCGAGCGGTCGCAGGAACGCGATGACGATGGATCTCCAGAGGCTGATCAATGAGGTGCACGCTAGACCGGCTATCTGGGATCAGAAGAACGTCAACTATCACAATCGCGACGTCATACTGAAGATGTGGCGGGAGATCGCGAGAGCCTGCGAAGTTTCCAGTGAGTACAAGAGAGAGCGAGAGAGAGAGAGAGAGAATGAGAGAGAGAGAGAGAGAGAGAGAGAGAGAGAGAGAGAGAGAGAGAGAGAGAGAGAGAGAGATAGAAAGAGGAATTGCTAACACACGTTCCACGATGCCTCTCGGAGTAAGAAAGATGGATGATACGTGCTATATTTATATGTGCACTACTCTGCGTGTAAATGGATGTGTGCGTATGGATTGAAGAGAGAAAGAGAGAGAGAGAGAGAGAGAGAGAGAGAGAGAGAGAGAGAGAGAGAGAGAAAGGGTAAGAGGTTGAGGTATAAAGAAATAGAGGGAGCTCGTAGAACTTACAACTCGAATAAGAATGAATCGAACTTCGAGTCCATCTCTCTTCTTTTACTTGCAAGCGGGAAATTTAAATGACTTGACTACCATTCGCTCTTTACGTCGTTCTCTATCGTTTCGATTCATCGTTGATAAAAGTGTACTACGGGGGTGGTATCGTTCATATCGATGCGGACGCAACGGGAACTAAGTTCATGCGCTAGATACTTTGGGAACAGTGTTGATAGATGGCACTAAGCTTCCATCTGGCATCGTGTTGATTTTTTAGTGCAAATCTTCTTAGAGAGATTATTTTTAAATAATATATTTGTTATATACATATGTATATATATATATACGTATGTATATATATATATATATATGTATGTCTGTGAAAGGTAGTCTTCGGATTTTGCAGTAAATAAGTTTTCTTTTCTTTTTTTTTCCTCTACCACCCCTCCTCCTCATAAATCTATTTGTATTATTCTGTATTATTAATATATTTGATAGGGATATATATTATTGTTCGTTTAAGAGAATGGAATAGTTCGCAATAATAATAAGTTTGCCCCTTTGCTTGCTCTCGCAAATAAATAGTGATCGCGTATTCGAATTTACGATTAGTCTCTTCTATCTTAATCGTCGAAGATACATTAACAGAGAACGATCGGCTTAAAGTGAGACAAACTGCTCGATAAAATGACGAAACGAGCGACCTAGTAGTTGTGATCTTTTAAAAGGCCAATTCGATAAGGAGCAAGCTCGCTTTATTTCTTAAGTAATGCTCATATTCGTAATGTGGACAAATTGATTCTAACGACTTATGTCTATTTTCTTCTTTTTTTTTTTTTCTTCTTTTTTTTCTCTTCTTCCTTCTTTTTTCTTTTTCCAGCCGACGTCGCCAAATCGAAATGGAAGCACCTCAGAGACAACTTCAGAAACGAGTTGAAGAAGACTTATCGGGGAAAATGCGATGGTAGTCTTGGTGGCGGTAGCGAACACGATTCGAAGTGGGTCTGGTTTAGGAGCCTATTCTTCTTGAGGGACCAAATGAATTCAAGGGTGATCGGGTGCGCCCTTAATCAAAATTGTGCAGCCCTTCGTTCCTCGCCCGACGGTACGCAGATAGAGCCACAAATCGACATACTCGAGGGCCACGAGGAGACACAATTCGATGATCTAGACGGTGATTCGTGTCAATCTTTATTATCGAACGACGACGGTCTCCATCATGTTATGCCACCCCCTAAAATGAATAAAATCGGAAGGAAACGAACCCTTATGGAAGCGATGGACAACGATTATCCTGAAATGGATAGGAAAAGGTACGACGCATTGCAAAAAAGATTGGTCCTTGGTCAGGACGAGGAGGACGACACTTATCACTTTTTAATGAGCGTCAGGAATCCTTTGAGAAGTCTTCCCCTCGATAGACAAATGTTTGTCAGGCTAAAGATCCAAGAACTCGTCTACAACGAGATAAATTCGCAAAATCATCAGATACGTAACTACGACGGCTCGCAAGACGTGAAACCATTGAAAGCACAGAACGACAATGGCAATGGTACAACTGGTAATGGTGGAAATGGTGGTGGTGGAAATGGTGGTGATGTCGTTAGCGACATGTCGAATCCAGCCTCGTTGCTACAGAATTGCGCTACCGAGGGCTCAAGCGATGACGCTTTCTTCGGCTAAAAATTTATTTATAGTTTACGTTATTAAACTGTAAGAACAATAATTTTATTAATAGAGAATAAACGAACGTATTTTTTCAACAAGGACACGTATATAATAACGTGCGAAGGATAATCGCATGAACTTGGATATTTTTCAAAGGTTTCTGCCATTTTGTTGCAGATTTATATATATAAATATCCTATTAACTAAATATATTATGGAATTACGAGAATGGAGAGATAAAAGTAGACGAGCTTAATTCACGTAAATACAGATGAACACATACCGTCACGATATATGTAAAAGCATTTCCAAAAGCTTTCAACCATAGGAACGGCTCGTTTTGCAATTAGCGAAAAAAAAAACAAGAAACGTGTTCGTTTAAAATCAATATTTCGAATAATTTGGTCGTTGTGTCCATGTTGAATAGAAAGAGGAACAGAAAGGAAACAGAAGCGATATGCACCGAATTCAAACCTAATAGCTTTCCTTTCTCGTTAATAATTACCATAGTCGACCTTTGATCGTATTGGATTTGAGCAAGACTAGTCGTGTACGCGTTTTACCTAGAACGACGATTTAATTAACGAGGTTTCTCTTCGTAGAGAGGATCGCGTTACCGTTATCGTTACAACCAAACAAACGCGTTGTCGTCCCGTATCAACGGGAGAACGTATGTACATACATACAACACGCCTCGTAATTATTTTGCATTTGCTAATTGGTCGGTGGTCGTGTGTAGTTGTCTCGGGAGCAATTTAACCGGTAAGATCAACATTTGTTGTTTTTTCATCAATTCATAACGGCATAAAGGGGTGAGGGGGAAAGGAGGTGGAGTCGTTTAGTCATTAATACGCAATGTGCGTATAAAATATTTTTTTCTTTTTTTTTTTTCTCTTTTTTTTTTTTTTTTTTTTTTTTACGTATAAAACAAAATGCTTGGAATTGATGACGTTTGGTAGTAATTATTATTGGATGTGCGAAAAAGAGGGAGAAAGAGACGAGTTGAAAAGAACAGGAAGATATTGATTTTCTAACGGGTATATCTTTTTTTTTCTTCATCTTCTTCTTCTTCTTCTTCTTCTTCTTCTTTCTCTAGAAACGTAAGTGCAAAGGATGATAAAGAGGAACGCCTTTCTTTTCTTTTTCTTTTTCTACTTTTTCGTTTCTCCGAGTATACGCTCACCTTTTTTAATGAAAGATAGAAATGTTTCTGAATGTGCAGATGAAGCGTGTTATCTGTTCTCTGACACACACGTATACACATGCATACACATACACACACACACATACAGAACTCCAGCTTTAACCTGTTATTGTCTTCTCTTAGGCTGCACCAGCTGGTACATCGGGCGAAGCCTTTCATATTCTCATACTCTCCGTCCCATTCTACTCTCGCGTTCGACAAGTGCAAACTTCGTCAGCCTATATCGAGTTATATCATTATAAATTATATAAATTATACATCCGAGAAGCGTAGGATTATATTAAAGAAATAAGATGATATCTTATCAACGACATATCTCATCTTGCGAATACGACGTACGTACATACGCCTTTACATATTTCATCTTTCTTGCTTTTTTCTTTGTCTTTCTTTCTTTTATCAGAACGTTTTTTTCCATCGAACCGATTTGCTGTCTGATTATTATCTTTATTGATGATCGATTCAAACTATCTATCAATGATATTTATATACTTATATATATATATATATATATATATATATATATATATATATATATAGAGAGAGAGAGAGAGAGAGAGAGAGAGAGAAAGAGAGAAAAGAAAATGTCTTCCTTTAAATTCCGTCCGCTTATAAAATAATACGAATCGAAAGATAACGTCTACATCAATAATGTACTTTCGTTCGTAACCAGACAAGATAACGAGATACACCTTCTTGAATAATAAATTCCAAAGGTGTGTATATATATATATATATATGTGTATGTGTATTATGTGGGTGCATATATATATAGCGTATAAAACGAAATCTAGATGTACCACTGACACATCATAGACCAGCAACAGCAGTAGCAGCAGGAGCAGTAGCAGCAGCAGTAACAACAGCAGCCACCTTAACGGAGACGAGCCTTCGGAGACAAGTGAAACGCCATTGTATCGTTCTCGACGCCGTTAAACTCGTCGAGATAACGTCGTTCGACAGGAGTTTGCACTAGTTCGCTGAGGATACTCTATCTCTCTCTCTCTCCTCCTCCCCCTCTTCTCTCTTTCTCTCTCTCTCTCTCTCTGTCTCTCTTCCTCTTTATTGGTGTTGTACAACCAAACTTCACGTTATTATTATGCACCTATCCAGATAACTATAATGTTGAACGAGCTAGTTATTGGACATTGAAGAAGTATCTCCAATGGCTATCTATAAATGGCCGGGTAAAAGCCCATTTTAAATTTAATTAAAACGCTACGTATGGGTACATCTTTTATTAGCGAATTTAAACGATGAACGCGTTATCTTCTTTTCTCTTTTTCTTTTTTTTCTTTCTTGTTTTTCTTTTTATTATCGTTTTATTTTATTTTATTTTATTATTATTTCTTTTTTTTTCCATAGAGTTGTTAACCAATCGATTCTATTCCGGTTCTTCATCGTTCTATTTCTCTCCTTCGCTTTCTTTATTTTTTTTGTTCTACTTTCTTCTTCCTCTTCTTCTTCTTCTTCTTCTTCTTCTTCTTCTTCTTCTTCTTCTCTATTTAATTATTTTGATTCCTGAACCCTCTTGGCCTATTTTTTTTCCTCCGTTTCTTTTTTTTTTGTTCTCTGGAGCCAATTTCTTTCCTTATTTTATCATCCCTCTTTGATCAATTTCTTTTCTTTTTTTTCTTCCTTCCTCCCTCCCTCTTTCTCTTTCTTTCTTTCTTCCTTAAGACGATGAAAGGATTTATTGCGATAAATTTATACGGTATAATAATCTTCTCGTTGGATTCATTCGTCATTTATGATATTAACGTGCCGTCTTGGATTTTCCTTCGATCCATTTGGATGAAATAGAAAAAAAAAGAAAAGAAAAGAAAAAAAAAATAAATCAAAGGTGGAGGAAGATATAACGAGAAAGAGAAGAAGAGAGAGAGAGATTAGTGGTATGGAAATCCAGTATAACTTTGAGATCTCATTCCATTCATGATTTTCTCTTCATTCATTCGTCCTATCTATCTATCTATCTATTTATCTATCTATCTCTATCTCTATCTCTATCTCTATCTCTATATTTAACAGAGAAATTCACGAAATAACGAGGTAACTTTTGGTTCGGGACTAAGCAACCGTGTCGTCTAGACGGGATGTACTATATTTGCACGGTATATTGCACCAGTTGAATACGTTATTCGAAAGTCTGCCACGGCCCGGTGTACTCTCGACAGACCACTCGGTTTTCCATACAAAAGGGGATTAGCATCGTCTTCTTTCTTTCATTCCTTTCTTTTTACTGCTTATTTCTTTCTTTTTCTTTCTTTCTTTCTTCCTTTCTTACCCTTCCTTCCTTCCTTCCTTCCTCTTCTCTCTCTTTCTTTCTCTAAAGTTATGGCGTTCTCTTTTCTATTATTTCTAACTTCTTTTCTCGCCAGCTTCTTTCCATCGAGAAACCACTCTATGACATCGGCTTTATGGTTTCTTGAACGACAATGATAACTATTCTTCTTACCTTTTGTGGTATGTATTTTATATATTTTATGGTATCCCAAGGGGTGAACGAAATAATAGAATAAAAAAGAGAAGATAAGAGAAGAAAAATATACGATTGGTAGTAGAAAGATTATTTATTTTCTCGTTGCCTAATTATAAATCAATGGGGATCTTTGATAAAACAATAGATTCTTTTTTGTATGAAATTCTTCCGAAAAAAAAATACAAAGAAGAAGAGAAAAGAAAAATGAAGGAAAAAATTGTTTAAAAAGAATTTGAACGATACGATTTTTTCTTTTTTTTTTTATTCCTCTCCCTTATGCGTTTAGTATGATAATGTAGGAGTTAGAGGAAACGTAATTTCATAGAGGACAGAGAGTGAGAGAGAGCGAGAGAGAGAGCCTCTTCTTTATTTTCTTTATCTTCTTTTTCTTCTTCTACTCCTTCTCTCATGAGAGTCGCATGTGTCTCACTTTGAAGTCGTAACATAGACGTGCGAAATAGAAAACGCGTTTACCTTTTGTCTGGAAACACTGGGTTCAGTTTTATATATGTATATATATATATATATGTGTGTGTGTGTATGTTTGTGCATAGGTATATATATATATATATATATATATATATATATAAACGAGAGCGAAAAAAAGCCACAGAGACAAATCATATGAGAGAAAAAAAATAGAGAAAGAGAGAGAGAAGAGAGTGCAAGAGACTTTCTTTGATCACGAAGTAAAATGCAATCACATCCTATCTCTTTTTTTCCCTCAGTTCTTCCCTCTCTCTCTCTTTCTCCCTCTCTTTCTATCTCTATCTTTTTTCTTTCTGCCTATCTATCTTTCTTTCTTTTCTCCCCTCTCTTTTTTTCTATATCCTCGAAGCATTTCCAGAGCTCCATAAAAGGGTTCATCCTCCGTAACCCGCGGCTTTACGTTCGATAACATCTATCTACAGGGTGTCTTCTAAATATCTAACGGGAAAGAAATAATCATCATTCGTACTTTCATAAGAGAGAAAGAGAGAGAGAGAAAGAAAGAGAGAAAATTTGAACGATAAGTTCAAATCGGATATCACCAATAGGAATCATTTCTACGAGATCGCAATTCTATTTGTTTTCGATTAATCATAGTTATCATAACTGAATGTAGACATATCTACATAGGTACGTATACATATGTATGGAGACAGAATGATTTATAGATTTATTCAACAGAGAGAAAGAGAGAGAGACAGTAATGGATATCAGTAAGAAAATATCTTTATCTATTCAACAGATCTACTCTAATGCGAGGATAACCGAAAGGTATGATAGATATATTCTGGTGCTTAGATATATGTATGTATGTATGTATCTTTTCTATGTACATACGTATGTACGTATGTCCATATATACGTCATGGTCTCTGCGTCATGCCTTAATTACTTGTCGTTAGGACATAGGTATGTATATACGTATTCTAATATATATATATATATATATACACACATATACTACGTATGCATACATATAAACGTGGCACATAACACGTCCCATTATGGCAAGTGCACATCGTATAGTAGTCCCCATGTCATAATTTCGTATTATTATGCGCGAACTTGCTACTCTCGACCGATTAAAACTCGACGAATGTAATTATTGCGTTCCTTCCTTCTTTCATTTTTCTTGTTTTTTTTTTCCTTTTTTTTCCCTTGAACTCTTTATTTTCTTCTTTTTTTTTTCTCCTCTTTTTTTTTTTTCGTCGTGCCTTACCACTGAACCCCGTACGTATGGTTAAATTACATGAGACTGCGACGAACGAGAACGCTTAACGAGATACTCGAAGAAAAACGCATTGCACACATATGTATTTCTTTTTTTCTTTTTTCTTCCTTCCTCATGCTGATTATATATGTTTTATTCATAGATTTGTTTATTTTATTTTTTTTTCTATTTTTTTTCTGTTCTTTTTTTTTTGTTTTTTTTTTGTTTTTTTTTTTTTTTGTTAGCACAATGTTACTATAAAATCTTCAACGTGAATTCAGTTCACATACGATCAATGTAAACGGATAAATATTATTAGGGAGGACTATATGGAAGAGAACAGGCGGCGGGGGATGAAGAGTGGGTGGGTAGAGAGGAGGGAGATTAATTGGTAAAAACGTTTAAAAAGTTTTTATCAATTAATGTAAGGACACTTGGGGAGAGAGTCGTTAACGAGATAAGTTGTCGATAATTTTTCTTTTTTCTCATTTTACTTTCTTCTCTTTTTCTTTTTGTTTTTCAACTTTCAACCTCGGTCAATGCAAATACACGTGGTCACTTCGATGAATCGAGAAAGAAAAAGAGTGAGAGAAAGAGAGAGAGAGAGAGAGAGAGAGAGAAAGAGAGAGAGAGATTAAAATCGGTGCTCCCGGTTTTACAGGGTGAAACTTGTTTCCAAAGGGGCAAACACTCGGTATCGTTAACTCGTCAACCCGTCGTCGTCGACGTACCGATTGCAATCGAAGAACAAAGTAGAATCCATTCGTTGGAAGTGAAATAAAATAAAGTAAATAAATAAAAAAAAAAAAAAAAAGAAGGAGACTCGTCTCTCTCTCTCTCTCTTTCTCTCTGTGTTCCTCTTTGTAGCCGGCTTTACCGGTCCGCCAACGTTCTTCTTGCTACTCCCGGGTACTTAACTGCATCTTACGTGAATTAATTGTGAACAGAGAGATAGACGGATAGGACGGAAATAAAAAGGATAAAATAAAATTGATTTTATTGATACGATCCTTTATCGATAGATTTTATTTATGCAACTTTGGAGAATCTAGAATCGAATGAAACTTATATGATTATATTATTAATATTCTCCTTTTTCTCTTCCATACATTTTTCTTCTTTCTTTCTTTCTTCCTTTTTTGTTTTTCTTTTTTATTTTCCTTCCTTTCGTTCTAATAAACAACATTTTGGTTCTTAAATGTCTTTAATGAAGAAGAGTATGGGTATGCTATGAAAGGCATATTTTTTTTCATTATCGACCGTTGGCGAACGACCGACGAAAGTCCTCTCGTGGCTCGTCCTGAAAGCCATTACAGCCTGTTACACTTTGTTACGAGACTATCGTTCGAGAGTACGGATATAATAAAGTTACTAAGGATAATGTCACTACTAGGGACCCTAGAAACTCTGGATAGAATCAGATTAGTCGGATCATTCACCAACGAACTAGCTTGATAATCGAAACGATTATTACATGCGTACACACGCGCACGCATATGTGTGTGATCCAAGTTTCTTAAAAAAATATGTTTGACTTTATTCATTTAAAATTTTTTTTTTAATTAGAAATAAAATCTCATTCCAAGTGCCATTAATTTCTCATCGATTTTTAATAAATATCTATCTTCAAACTTCGAGATATAGTTATGAACGTCTTCGTGATATCACAAACGAACGTATTTATTGTAGATCGTGATGCAATAGTTTATGATCACGAAATCTTGACTTTCCTTTTCTTTTTTTTTTTTTTTTTTTTTCTTCAGCACGAATAATAATAGCGACTCGCGAGAAAGGCTCCGCGCTAATTAGGAAATCAGCGGGGGAAGATCCGCGAGAATTTCGAAGGAATGAAAGACAACGACGAAAGGATACGACGAATGGAAAGGAAGAAACTCACCTCGTCCTTCCTCGGCCGGTCGTAAAATAAGATTTAACTGGCGCCACCCTCGAGATATGTACGCCATGACATTACCGAGGAATCTTGTTGGTCCTGCCTGGTCCATGGCGGAGAAATATTTTTTTTTTGGTAGATTTTTTAGTTCTTTTTTTTTTTATTTTTCTTCGATATAAAGTACAAGAGAAAAACGAAAGCAAAAAAGAAATAAAAAAATTAGAGAAATGAAATGGTGAAAAAGAGGTAAATAGCTGTTAGCGTCGATTTATCGAGGTCTCTTGCGAAATGTAAAAATAAGAAATCTTCTCCTTTTTCCATCCTCTTTTTTTCTCTCTGCCTCTCTTCTCTCTTTTTTTCTTTTTATATTCATATATATATATATATGTATAGATTTTTTTTCTCACTCTACTTCGAACAACTTCTTCGCGATGACTTCCTGCGGTAACGCGAATTCCAATCGTACGATTTAACGTGTAGGTTATTTTCTATTCTCTTGTTATGTTCGCAATGATCGAGAGTATATAAATATACACACACACACACACACACACATATATATATATATATATATGCAAGAGGCGGATATTTGAATAAAATACGCGCATAGATTAAACCCACTTGTCCATGTTACAAGATCAGACAAGATTCTATATCGTTGTTAGGTGAATAGATTATATTTGATTTTTTTTTTTCTATATTATCTTTATTTTATCAATAGAGTTTAATACCATTGTTTGCTTTTGCGTACACTAACATACGTATGTGTATTACATTACATTCGATAAACGTTGACAAGCCACGAAGGTAACTAATTACATTGTGGCAACTGCGGAAGTATATTATTTAAGAGAAAAGAAAGGAACGTGTGAGTGAATAAGTAAGTAAGTATAGATAAGTAAGTACTTACTTATGGTGAGCATTAATGTATCGAACTTTATCGTACGAGCTCTCGAGTTCGATCAGAAACTCTGAACTTCACCAAATATGGACCTACCTTACGAAGTCATCCCCACACGAGTTACGATTTATCGAACGAAGGCGTGAATTCTTTTTTTTCTTTTTTGCTTTTTTTTTGCCTCTTTTCTTTTTTCTTTTTTTTCTTTCTTTCCTTTCTTTGCGCGCGTACTATATGCGAAAGATTTCAAATTTAAATTTTTCTTTTCTTTTTTACTTTTCTTCTTCTTTTCTTTTTCTTCTTTTTTTTTTGTTCTTTTTTTTTGTTTTTTTCGTGGAGTTGCACGATTAAAAGGTGATAATCTCGAAAATGAGCAACTACTCCCTCGGGAGACTTCGGGATCCTATGACAGAAACACATTGCCACCCATAAAACAGCTGACTGTCCGACGCTTTTCTTCTCTTCGTTTCTGGGACTCCGGACGAGGTGTGGTCGCCATTCGTCGTTTAGAACCACGTTGTCGCTCGTCCTTGAAGAAAAAGAAAAAGAGAAAGAGAAAAGAAGGTGCAACGAACGAACGAACGAACGAACGAACGAAAGAACGAAAGAACGAAAGAACGAACGAATGAAAGAACGAACGAACGGGATAAAGTAAAATCCTTCTCTTCTATCTTGTCTAGAAATAAAATTTCGAAATGACGATCAAATGGATTTTTATATTTTTTCTTGTCTCTTTTCTTTTCTCTTTTCTTTGTCACTCTCTCTTTTTTCTTTTTTTTCTTTCTTTTTTTTTTTTTTTTTTTAGTATTCATGACAAATGTTCGCGATATAATAGAATAATAAATCCGTCATATCTTTATATTTCTCTTTTAGGTAATAGGCTTAATTTTCACATTTAAAGATTACCATTCGTTATTTAGATGTGAGGACTTGTCTCACTTTTAAAATCAACTTAATAATTTATACTGATATTAAAAGATATTTATTTTGAATTGTTTGGGAATATAAATTTTATGTTAATTTCAAATAAGAATTAGCTTAGCTACTTCTTTTTTTTCTTTCACAAAATGACAGCCTCACTTTCAAAATCAACGGTTCATACACACACATACACACACACGCACAAACATATACACACAAACATACACACACATACAAAGTAAGTACGTCGTAATTTAGAAAGAAAAATAAAAATGAAAAAAAAATGTGGGCCAGTCTTTTCAAGTCACGAAAGGTGTCTACACTAGAATGTCGCACCGATGACAGGTGTCTTTTTAAAGAACGACCGATCAGATTACGTTTTTGAAAGAGTCGAGTAGAAGAGGAACCTCTCCTAAGGAAGATAGCTATTTTTAAAGTTCTTCGATATATCTCTGATATCGGTAGGGGTGGTGTTTGGGATTGAGGGTTGGCCGCGGTTGGCAAGGAAGCTTCTAACGAAACTTGACTTGTTTGACGACACGTTTGTGAAAGGCGCGAAAAACAGAAAAATGGACAAAAGTTCTTCTTTTTTCTTTTTCCTCCTTTATTTTTTTTTCCTTTTGTCCTTTTAAAAGAAGGATCTCGAAAAAGGAATTTAATAAACGACGATTGTTTAGAGACAAAGAGAGAGATCAAACATCAAGTCGAATATCTTAGAGTCGATTCATATCTATCCTTTGATATCGACATTGCATTTATAATATTGTATATATATATATATGTATCTATACAGGTATGTACATATATATATATATATATATCTCAAGCTTGAGAATTCATTACGAAGGCAAAGACGGATAAGAGAAGTTCCTCGAACGAAGTAGAAGGCGAGACGAGAAGAAGAGAATTGGCGCCAAGGCATGCTGGTAAGGCGCCGAACCGTTTTACGCAGTCGTTGAGAGAGAAGAGAGAGAGAGAGAGAGAGAGAGAAGAGATACATACATGGATACAACGTAACGCGTTCCGTCCTCGAAAGTGCACCGGTTATGTGTTCCGTTGATATTCATTTTCTACTATGTAGACTTTGCCTCGACCTACACATGGTGAAAGTAAGTAGTATGTTAAAAGGTATCCGTCGCACGTCGGTGGTTAGTCGTTTGGAGGATCGCAAAAAGCACGTGTTTGTGCATAACTTAAGGAAAAAAAATCCATCATCTTTTTAATCGAACTCCTTTTCATTTTTTAAAAAAGATAAAAAAAAAAAAGAAAGAGTAAGAGAAGGAAAGAAAGAGAAAAAGATAGGAAAACCCAATTAACCGATGGAGTCATTACAGCGAACGATTTGTATCGGTTATGCAGTTGAATCGAATGAAGAATTAAAACTTAATAGAAATTTATTCGACACAGGGTATATATATATATGTATGTATATATATATATATATATATATATATATATGTATGAATATATATATATGTATGAATATGTATATATGTATGTGTATATCTATGGAACACGCGCGTTATCATCGTAGCTCGACAGTAACACACCGCGTTCAGCAGCCTGACGTGACGTTTCAACAATGAAGCGTCCGATGATGGAATTTTATCTTGACGATTTCAATTACGCAATTGCGAAACGGGACACGTACGGTACGACGCGTCCAATGTTATGTCCCGGGTCCGGGTCCAGTTTCGTTGGCACCTCTCGTCGTCGATTGACGTTGAGAGAAATAGAGAGAAAGTGGGATCAAAAGAGAGAGAGAAAGAAAGAGAGAGAAAGAGAAAGAGAAAGAGAGTGAGAGAAAGAGTTCGATCTTTTAGTCGACGTGTTTTTCCTCCCACCTACCCTCCTCCTCCTACCACCCAATCCTCCCCCTCTCTTCGTCCGAACGTAAATCCTGAATCGTGAGCGTTCATTCGTGCTCTTTACTTTGTATCACAAAATCACTATACCATATATGGTACTAGCACGGATACTCCCATTTATTCGAGAGACTCGCGAGCGCGCAATTATTGCGATAACATCGGCGTGAGAGAGAGAGAGAGAGAGAGAGAGAGAGAGACCTTACGAAACGTCGTATCGCGTTTCATAAAACAACTCGTGTGTACGCGAGCTTAATCTTTTCGATCTATAAGAGTATATATTTGTTTTTATTATTTGTTTTCTACTTTCTTATTTTTTTTCTTTTGTTTTTTTCCTTTTCTTTTTTTTCCCCTTTTCTTCTTTCCTTTTCTCTTCCCTTCGTATCCCTTTATTTTCGTTTTTTGTTTTATTTTTCTTCTCCTTTTTTCTACTTTTTTGTCATTCTTTCTTCCTTTTCTTCCTTGTTTTTCTTTTTATCTTTTTACGGTCCTACGTATCGTTTAAAATATATTTACATATTTTTTATTGATTGTCTAGTGTATGTATATATATAATACATGTTTACGTAAGTACGTTAAGTACGTACATGTCGATTGTTTCGTATTGATTAACAGCAGCTCCGTATATTTACATACATAAAGGTGAAATAGTTCGACACTTTATCGTTGACCTTTCTCGAGTGACGTCCTTTTTCTATTGCTAACAATGGAAGAATTATATATATATATATACACACATACAGGATGTCCAAAAAATATGGGATCAAACTTATACTATGTATTACTGACATCTGTATCCTATATATATATATATATGTATATGTATATTAAATATTCCAACATTATATTTTATTATTGACAAATGAAATAATATAATTATTCATTTGTTATTTATTTATTTGTTTGTTTTTTTTTTCTTCTTGAAAAATTTCTCCATTATATCGCAAGATATTTTTACACGTATCTACTATGTGCATATAGTAGCACGGTCAAAAGAATGAACGTATGTACATACGTATCTCTGAGTGCTGAGTGGTCTGAGGATTCATTGTGAGAAAAAAAGGAGAAAGAGATAAAAAAAAAATAGAGATATAGAAATAGAGAAAGAGAGAGAAAGAGAGACGGAGGATTCCTTGTTGCAAAAAGCTTATGCCTTGTGTTATGAAGGGACTCGATGAAAATTCTCACGTAAATTCAGCTGCGACATTCGAGCTCGGCTGAATTATCTGTCGTGTACTCTCACCAAAAGATATATATATATATATATATATATATATATATATATATATATATAGAGAGAGAGAGAGAGAGAGAGAGAGAGAGAAAGAGAGAGATAAAGGAAGATAGTTAAAAAAAAACGAGAGAGACAGGGAGAGGGAGAGAACACAAAGAAAGAGATAGAAAGTCATCCTCGTATGTACGAACAAAATGGATGGGTGATTCGTTGCTACTCTTCCATCCATTTTCCTGCTTTTTTTTTCCTTCCCCTCCCACCCCCCGCTTTTCTTAATATCCACCTATCTTTAACTCGTCTTTATTATCTCTCGTTTGTCCCCTTACTCTGTTCATCCCTTTCGTTTCGCGTTAGACGAAAAGAAGTATTAAAAATTCTTATTGCCCTGGAGATATGTAATAAGTATGAATGTATGTTATTTAAATAGTCGAGTGGCATGAATGCGAATTTGCTGTTCACGAAAGTGATATATATAGATGTTTCGTTTCATTGTTATAAAATGGAACAGGAAAAGCTTTCAAATGTTGGCGTAAATGAATTTTGACAAACTATAATAAATGAGAAAGAGCAAGAGAGAGGAGAAATATTTCGAGAAAAGGTAAACGTATATGGTAAATGCAATTCATTAATGTCAAATAAAATTCTACTACACATAGGGAAAAGTCGATAATAGGAATGAGTAAACGTTCTGCTCGATTAATCATCTATTTATATTCTACTTTATTAGTGATGTTTATATCGAACATGTAACGTTTCCGTTTGATCTTCTTATCACGACTTGCTCTCTACAGAAAGATGCAATAATAATGTGCAAATATAGTAGTGAAGATACTAATTTTTTTTTTTTTTTTTTTTTTTTTTTTTTTTTTTTTTTTTTTTTTTTTTTAATTTTTCTTTTCTCTTTCTTTCCTTGTCTTTTTCTTTTTCTTTTTTAAAGACTCTCATGCCTACTTAACGTTTTTTTTTCCAATCTCACTTTTTGTTAAGTCATTTTCGATTGAGCGCGACCTTCAAATTAATTTGCATCAAGTCGAATATTTTTTGTTTATTACTTTTACAAACCGTCAAGTTAATATCGTCGTAAAGAAAAATCGTAAAATGATGAATATATATATATATATATATATATACACATTTTCTCCCTCTCGAAGTGTTATAAATTTTCACTGTACTTTTGCTGAAACTATATGATAAATATGTTCTCGTATGGTATAGTTTATAAAACTTGTGTTTACATTGATGGCAACGTGGTTATGTTAATTCATTAGAATGAGGATCATACGATCGATATTACAAACTCGAAGAAAACGTGCTTGGTCGTGCATTATTTAATCATCTCTACGTTACTATGTGCGGTATCGTTTGCGTGTGATATAAAAGAAAAAAAAAGACCACGAGAAAGAGAGAGAGAGAGAGAGAGAGAAAGAGGAGATACTAATACATTTAGAATTAAAAGTTCAATGTTGTTGAGGAATGGAAGAGAGGGGGAAGACATACATACATACATATTAACTATTTTTTACTGACGTTACATACGGGTTAGCATATATATATATCAGGTTTACGATCTATTTGGGGCGCTACGATTGGCTTGAAAAAAAAAAAGAAAAAGAAGTAGGGAGTGTAGAGTTCCATCCGTCGTATATGACGTTTGTGCAAAATTGTTTGTTCGAAGTTCACGAGTCTCTTATGTAAAACATTCATTTCATTAAATATGAATTACGAATAATATCGTATTTTTATAAATTTATCGTATCGAATTATGAACAACAAGGTATCGTTTTTTTTTTCATTATATATATGTATATATATATATATATTAATTGATTCGTTCGATCGACTACAACGTAATAAAGTAAAGCAAAAAAAAAAGAAAGATAAAAAATCGAGGTAGGTTTAGAAAGTCGTGAAATACTGGCATTCCTATAATTGATTTTTTCCTTTTCTTTTTTTCTCTCCTTTTCTCATTGTTATTTTATTTATTTTTTTTTTCTTTTTTCTTTTTCTTTTTTTTTTTGTTTCTCTTTTTATCGAGTCACCCGGTATGCACGTGTTTGGACAAATGCGTTCGATAAGTATCACGTGGTTTGGTCACGCTCCAAGAATAAAACGATGACGTTGGTCGATCATTTTAACGATGATACCAAGTTCCTTCTTGGTGTATATGAGAGAGAGAGAGAGAGAGAGAGAGAGAGAGAGAGAGAGAGAGAGAGAGAATGATATAGAGAAAGCAAACCCGTCCAAACACGATTTAGAAATAAAATATAGCGAGAGTGGAGTGGGATGAGGTGAGGTGGGAGATTTGGTTTGAGCAAACTACTCCAACGCAGGCGCATTTACCATAGAGTAGAGCAACATGGACAAACAACAGCGTACGCCACTCCAACGCTAGCCAATATGGACGTACACGGTTGGGAGCAGAGAAACTGGTTGGGGCCTCAGTCAGTCGACCCGTGTACGTAGAACGTGTTACGTGTATTTCCCTGTCGATCTGCCGATCCTCTCTTAACTCAAGTTTTTAACCATCGCATTGGATCCCAGCTTGTTTGACGAAGTGAGAAGTAATTACGTAGGGAAAACAAAACGAGAGAGAGAGAGAGAGAGAGAGAGAGAGAGAGAGAGAGAGAGAAAGAGAAAGAGAAGCGTGATAAAATTAAAAATAATAATTGGAACGATAGACGTAAGAAGAAGAGAAGGAGGAGGAGAAGGAAAATAAAAAATAATAATAAAGAATAAAAAAGGAAGAAGAAGAAGAAGAAATTAAGAATAATATCCGGAAGAATAAAGAGATCGAAAGTAATATTTAATCATAAGGGAGAAAAGAAAGAAAGAAAGAAAATATTAAGGACAACGATAATAATAATAATAATAATAATAATAATAATATTTACTCGAATATCCTTTTTTTCTTTTGCTTTTTTTTCTTTTTTCTTTTTTCTTTTTTCGATAAAATTGATAGAAACAAAATTTTTTTTATACGCACGATACATAAGTAAAAATTGTTAAGCTTTATTAAAGACAAAATTTTAATATTAAACAAAGATATTGGACAAGGATTAAGAAGGAAAAGTAAAAAAAGAAGGGATTGATTTTGGGATAATATTAAGGACGAAAAAATAGTCTTTCTCTATTCAGGGGACCGGTTTGGTAGAAAGTTTCAAGGATATTATGGCGGATCTTGTTGGTTATACGCATGAGTTCCTAGCTGAATTCATTCAGCTTTATCGTGCACAACCTTGTTTATGGCAGATCAGATGCAAAGGTTACAAGGATAGACTTTTAAGAGGTCGTGCTTACGATGTGCTTGTACAAAAGTTGCGTGAGGTAAATGAATATGCTGATAAGGATACTGTAATAAGGAAGATAAACACATTGAGAACCGCCTTCAGAAGGGAGTACAATAAAGTTAAGAGCTCACAAATTGCATCGGACGATCCACAGAATCAATATAAATCATCTTTATGGTATTACGATCTTCTGAAATTCGTAGCCGAGCAAAATAACGATGAGATGACGTCAATGATAGCAACAACTGGCGGGAAGTCCGAGCTTTTGTCGAAGGACGAAAATTATTTGACGAATTTTTCGAACGATGAAACGGTACGATTGATTTTTCAATAATTTACGTATCTATGTATGTATGTATATACAATGATTGACAATATTAATTAGAACACGTCGTTATTTTTTTTATTATACGCATATATATATATATACACACACGTGTATGTATACGTGTGTTATACGTACGTGCATTTGTAAATATTGATAAAATTTTGTCTCATATGCGTTTTTTTATAATACGAGACGTTTCATTCTGTCGATATCGAGAGATCCAAGAAAAGATTGTAGTCTATCGAAGAAGAGGCACTCGATGTGTCTACTTCAATCATTTATAAGAGATTAAAAGAGAGTAATACCAGAGAAAAGAGAGAAGCAGAGAGCGTAAACGACATTACTTATGTTCAATCGATTGTAAAGAAACGACGATGATGATATGGACGTGAATTTATGTTGTCTTGAATTTTAATATAATTTCCGTATCTCCCTCTTTCTCTCTTGTTCTCTCTCTCTCTATCTCTCTCTCTCTCTCCCTCTCTCTCTCTCTCTCTCTCCCTTCAAAGGAGAGGTAGAGAGAGAGAGAGAGAGATTATCGATTCGAAAACTCAGTGATTCTCTGCGAGTCACGCAGGAAATTACATGTAAATTAGAAACAATGTTCGAAACGTTGTTTAGTAGTAACTCCGCCGCATATTTTATCTCTATTTATTTTTTTGTTTTTATATACTCAAGAATACGTTTACGTTACTGAGTTGGAACATAAATCAAATAAGTATACACATATACGTATACATACATACATGCATACACACATATATATATATATATATATATATATATATATATATACACAAAATCTTGATATAAAACGTATAGAACGTTATTTAAAAGTTAAATGTAATATATCTTAATTAAGTTATTTTCATTATTACTTATGATTCATATTTACAGGCTCGTTATGTGTTATTTAATTTATTTTAATTGGCAAAAAAGAAAAAAAAATAAATAAATGAATGAATAAATAAAAAGAGAGAAAAAACAAAGAAACAAAAAAAGAAAAAAAAGGAGAAAGAGAAGAAAATTAATAATTAGTAAAAAAACAATTGTTTTAGTTGATGCATAACGATGTTGAAAAAATAGAACCACCGTCGCCAACACCATCGAGATCAAACACACCGAATAGCTTTCGTCCTGTGATCCTTGGAACCGAAGGATCCTATGGAATGGAATATTCATCATCGACAATCGATCATCTTCCTCAAGCCGCAAAAAAAAGGAAACATTCTGATTGTAGTCGAGGTCATTGCACAAGATCTACTACGCAATCGGCTTACGAGGCTAGGAGATTAGTTTCTTGTTCTACGGGTGATGATTTGGAAACATTCGGTCTTTACGTTGCATCGAAATTAAAAAAGTCTACCGAACGGCAATGTATAATTGCCGAAAGGATTATAGCTGAAGTATTATTGCGTGCGAATTTTGGTACATTAGACGAGAGTACAACTCTTACCGAAAAATCACCGTCCCGTTGTTTTCTCGTAATGGGCGATCGATAGAGATAGAGATAAATATAAATATATATATATATATATATTGCATAGATATAAATATATATCCATTCATATACATACATAAATATCATATATAATAGATATGTATATATGTATGTATGCATACTGTTGATAAAAGTTAGCATATACCAAATGATAGTGGACAGACACTAGCCGTCTCTCTCTCTCTGTCTCTTTCTGTTTCTCTACGAGAGAGCAAAATAGCTTCGCGACGCAGCCAAATGTGAACTGGCAGATTTCCAATAAACGCGACTTTTTCAAGAAAAGTACAAAGGACGTGCACGCCGTCGTGCACTCTTATTCTTCTTATCACGAGAATCTTCACATTTTCTTTTTCTTTTTTTTCTTTTTTTCTCTTGTGACCCCTATTATTCTCCTTGCGTTTTATATCGTCTCGATGATCTCGATAAAGACGACAAAATTCACAGGCCCATCGGAGAAGTGGGTGCGTGCAATGCGCGACAGGAAGGGAGGGGTGTGTTAGTGATTAAAAAAAAAAGTATGCACCATTTAATAGTTGCAACAGGGAATGTTTCGACGTGTTTGATGCTAATAATACCTTTCTTTTTTTTCTCTTTCTTTCTTTCGTTTTTTCTTTTTGTAAAATCACGAATAAATTGATCCTAATCTGTTTGACATTTCGTGTTGTTACGAATCTAATTTCCTCTCCCCCACTCGCCCCCGCCCCCTCGCCCTCCTTGTAAAAAGTATTTTTAAGAGAAATGAATCGAGCGAAAAAAAAAAGGAAAAAGAAAGAAACGAATCCTTCTTGAGAATAATTATTCATGAACGACTATTCGATTGGTTATTTTTATCGTTTTTATTTTTTCTTTCTTACTTCCTCCCCCTCCCCTCTCTCTCTCTCTCTCCGTTACCTACATCTCTTACGTATTCTTTCTAATTCGCATTCATTAAATGGTTAAGCAATATTTATGAGCAGAAAAAGTTTGGTAATAAATTTTCATGACACGTGTTTCGACATTGGTAGGTGATAGGTCTTCTTAGATTGGTTGGTCGGTCGATTGGTTGGTTGGTTGGTTGGTCGGTTGGTAGGTTAGTTGATAATCTTCTTCCTTAATTGAGTTATTACACGAGTGAATTAAGACGGAACAGTACGCAACATCCTAAAATAGGGATCTTCGAAATTGTTTGCCACGTTGGCGCTCAAACGCAAACTCTTAAATTATTCGAGAAAATTTAATATTCGACGGGAAATTTTTTTGCTTCCTCTCGGCAAAAAGGAAAGAAACAACAACAAAAATAAAAAAAAAAAAAAGAGGAACGAAAAAAAGACATACCATTGAGGAATTTTTTCTCGCCATAAAGAGAAATATGTTACTATACGCAAATAATTCTCATGGGGGAAAAAAAAAGTTCTGGGATCACTCAACAGTAGAAATCCTTTCCTCTCTTTCTTCTCTTCATTTCTTCTCACCATTGAAATACCAGAATCACGTGGTGGCTGTTTGTCAAAACTTAAAACACACTGAAGAGAAAAATCTAGCGCTGTTGTCATCGCTCCTGCCTCTAACTCTCCTCTCTCCCTCTCTTTCTCTCTCTCTCTCTCTCTCCAGCATCACCATCCCCACCCCTTCTTTCTCTTGACAAAAAAAAAATAGGAACAAAAAATAAGGAAGAAAGAAAGAAATTGTCGAGCTGTAAATACGAGCTAGAGAGAGAGAGAGAGAGAGAGAGAGGAAGTTAGTGAAAAGATATAAAAACGATGACGCTGAGAACAATACGTTGAAGTTTCATGTTGCCCGGCACGGCGGCGTCGGCGTAAGCTTTCGCGAGCAAAATGCGAGATAATTGAAAAAAAGTAATGGTTTTGTTCTCGCCGACGGTGACGTGTCCCTCCGTAAATTAAATTCTCTAGAGCGTGCGACGCGTTCCTACCTTTTTTTTCTCCCCTTTCTATTTTTCTCTTCTTCTCCCTTCTTTTTTTTCACGTTTTTCTTCTTTTCCTTCTTACATTTTCGTTTTTTTTTCTTTTTATTTTTATTTTCGTTTTAAATCATACGGTTTGGTTTATTTATTTCATTACATAAATAATTGTAGATATTATTAGAACGTTCGATGTTCATTTCTTCGAGATTATTCGTCAAGATATATATTTCCTTTTTTTTCGTAGAAATAAATAACAATGTCAAATCGTCGTGATAGAAAAAATTTAAATAATATGAGATAAAAAATTGTATCGAACAATATGTTGTCAATATTGGAACGAATATCGTCAACTAGACGAGGTGGCCGAGTGGTTAAGGCGTTGGACTGCTAATCCAATGTGCTCTGCACGCGTGGGTTCGAATCCCATCCTCGTCGAGGATATTTTTTTTTCTTTTTCCAATCAACGAAATAATAATAATAATAATAATTATAATAATAGTATTATATAATAATAATAATAATAGTAATAATAATATGTAATTTGATCGAATGTTAATATCATTGGGTTTATAGGAGCAATTTAATTAATGGGTTTCGTATTACTATTACCTTCCTATTCATTTCCTCCTCCCTCCCTCTCTTTCTCTCTCTCTCTCTATCTCTCTATCTCTCACCCCAAAATCCTCAACCCCTCCATCCTCACCATCCTCACCTCTTCATCATTACGTTCGTGTCAGCTTACAATATTACATAGTACGGATTTCAATTGATTAAATGCAGCAATTTCAGTCTCATTGGACACGTATCAATTATTTGTCATTCGTTTTGTCAATCTTTCATGGTAATTATTCGTAACAAACATGAAGGATTTTAAAAGGCATATCATCGATGATTATTTGGCTTTAACGGAGAATAGGAAAAATAAAATGTTTGTTACATATACATGGATATATATATATAAATACACACATACGTATGTATGTTACTATATATATATATATATGTAAGTATGCATGTACATGGGGAAACGATTCGAAATTTATGTATCTTGACGCGTTTATTCCCGAGCGTGTCCATTTTCACGGTATAATATCTTTAGGTGGGTGCAGGAATAGAAAGCCCCGTTGTGAGATACGCAAATGGCCTTAAAAGTTCCCCAACGTACTCGTTTCTTCTTAGTAAGTACGTGCCATAGAAATCTAAGGCGATGCATTAAGGAAATCCGTCGTGAATCGCGAGAACGAGAGTTCGTCCGTTGTTCGAAAACGTTGAACGTTTTATGAGAACGCGATACTTATATCGTTATACGTTACGCTCTATGTTCATTCGGGTACAACTACACACACACACACATATATATATATATATACATATATGTTGGAATTGAAAGTGTAAATTCACGATACCTGATAGTAGAAACAGAAAGCTTTGAATAGATTTAACCGATGGATGCTTTTATCGGTTATACACGGGAACTAATACGAATACCCAACCATGAATCACGTTATGCAGTTATTAAACATACTAAGGAAATCGATACCTCTACGACACCATATATAAAATTGTATAAGATATATATATATAAGAATGTATGTATGTATGTAGGTATGTAGGTGTTTCTAAGTTAATCCCCTGACCCTGAGTTCCACGATTAGGTGCAACCGAGTAGATAACAGCCCGGCTAGCTCAGTCGGTAGAGCATGAGACTCTTAATCTCAGGGTCGTGGGTTCGAGCCCCACGTTGGGCGAGAATAAAAATGGGTGTTCTCTTTTTTTTTGTTCTTCGAACCCCCATATTGGGCGAGAAAAATGAGTTCTCTTTTTTTCATACTTTTCGTTTCTTTTCTCTCTCTTTCTCTTTCATAAATTTATTACACACGATATTATTTCAACATTTTATCCAATCCAATCTATCTAAAGTAATAATCTTTCTTTTTTCTTTTCCTTTTTTTAATGCAAATTTTAAAAAGATCGTTTATCGTTAGACGAATAAAATTATCGACATGCAATCAAATTATAGGGTCGCTAAAAAAAAAACTAATTGAAACGACGGTACGTAACTATGAGGTATTATGTATCTATTTATAAAAAAAATATATGCGATCGTAACAAATCTGGGATTTTTAGGATCGAAAATTTTGAAGGGTAACAAAAATTAAACTCGCCCCCGGGTGGGCTCGAACCACCAACCTTTCGGTTAACAGCCGAACGCGCTAGCCGATTGCGCCACGGAGGCGACTTGAAGAGGGATTTTTTCTCCTCGTGCTGCTTCCTGATGCATAATCTTCGATTATAAAGTGAAATAAAATAAAAGGAAAAAGGAAAAACAAAAGGAAATAGAAAAGAAAAGGAAAGAGAACGAAGAGGAAGAATCATTTAACACTGAGTAATACATAGTAAGTAAGCACACACACATACACAGAGACATATAATATATATGTATATGTTTGATTTAATTTGATAAACGAAGTTAATTAATAATAAAAAAAAGAAAGAGAATAGCATCGAACACGAGGATACGATCAATCGTTAGATCTATAGAGTAAATGGATCTATAAAATGTCCATAATCGATCATCGTCAAGATTTATTTGAGTGTCTGTTAAGAGAACATTAACTATATGCATTGGACACTGTGAAAAGGGAAATTATACGAGGGTGTTTTAAACACGATCGATTTGAATAGAACACTTTAGAGAACAATTGAGATATATATAAGAGAACAATTGTCGTAGCATTGTGTTATCTGAAGTAATCTTCAAGTAGCCACGATACTTGAATAGGAGGACCTTACGTAAAGTAAACCTTTCATCTTCCTACTCCTCCTCTTCCACCACCATCTTCTCGTTCTCCTTCTTCCTCTTCTTCTTTTTCTATTCCTCCTACTATTCCTATCTTTCTCTCATTCAAGAAGTCAATGTCGTTGAGTAGTCTTAACAGACTATAGATATAAAAGAACGTAGGGGGTTCACCGGTTCAATTTTACCTGACCGCAGCAGGCACCAACGATGATAATATTGCCAAAGCAAATAGAAGGATCCCGTAGACGTCATAAAATTGATATTTATCCTGGCTACTATCCAGAGTTGAAACCGTGCCAACTCAGCCACGAGGAATACTACACCCTCAACGTGCTAGCTACCGTAATTATCCTCTCCTTTTATCCCCGACCTTTTCCCTCCCCCTTCCCTCACAATTTTTGCGCCTACCCCTCTCCCGTTCTCTTCTATCCCCACGCTTCCTCTTGCTCTATCACTCTATCATTCTCTCTTTCTCTTTCTCTCTTTCCTTTTCTCTTTATTTTTCCTACTTATCTTTTGCTACTTCTTCCTACCATCCATTTTCAATATCTATTTGTATCTATATATCTACCTTTATCTTTATCTTTATCTTTATCTTTTGCCTGTTCGTTCGAGATTAAAGAAAGGTCCAGAAAGCTCTCGAGGTCGGTGCTAGATTGACTGAAATTGACTTGGCTTTTGAAAGGGTAGACAGTCGAACGAGAAATGAATGGGTTCCTTTTGAGCATAGAAAATGCAAGAAAAGCACCAGTAGCAGTAGCAAATGCTAGCTAACCCTCGTATATCTATTTGTAATATTCCACGTAGATCTATACGTATACGGATGTGTATGAATGTATGTACGTATGTAAATACATATTATATATAAATATATATATATACACGCGGTGGAGATCCAGTCTACGTATACTCGTGTAGCCTTTATTATTATTATTTTTGTTTTGTTCTCTCTCTCTCTCTCTCTCTCTCTCTCTCTTTCTTTCTTTCTTTCTTCATTTTCTTTTTTCTGATTTTTCTGTTTCTGTAAAAAAAAGAAAATACCATCGACCTTTTAAAATTTTTTACCCTTGGCTATTCTTTCGATATCGATCGTTTCTCTCTCTCTCTCTCTCTCTCTCTCTCTCTCTCTTTCTCTCTCTTTCACATTGACAGTATTCACGTAGATTTTTATTCCGCAAAGTGGAACAGCGAAAATTTTTTATGAAATTTACGATTAAGTAAAACTACCAAAGTGGTTAACTTAAATAGGTGAACATTTTCGAGCTTTTTTTAAAAATCTATGAAGTACTAATAAATGTACTAATAAAAGAATATATATATATATGTGTATATATATATGTACTTATATAGAGATATATGTATATAAAGAGAGAGAGAGGGAGAGAGAGAGAGAGATTGAGAGAGACTGAGTTAGTATCTTCCCACCTGCGTTTTAACACGAACGAGCGAACGAACGAACGTACCATACGTGATTGCATTTGTGTCTATATACATCCCTTCCAGGATTACACGCATGATTTTACGAGGATCATAAAGGCGTGTTCCGTCGTACTGCGACGGCAATTTTAATCTTTAACGATGAGAAGCAGGATTTCGTACGTGTAAACGATGAAAATATAACATAACACAAGACAATATAATATATATAAAATATATATATATACATACACACACGTATATATATATATATATATGTATATGTATAGAAAGAAATATATAGAAAGAAATAGAAAGGAAGAAAGAAAAAGACAGAGAAATAGAGAGAGATAGGAAAAACACATATGGGTATTCATTATCAAACGAGATTAAATGTAATAAGAGTATGTTTTAGGTATTAGTAGGTGTTACAATAGAGCGTCATTTTTTATGGATTAAAGATGAAAATTATCGTTCACGAAATTGCAATATCC